CGAGCTGGAGATGGCAACGTGTATTTCGAGTTGCTACTTGCTACTATACGTCTCTTGAGCTGGAGACTGCAAAATCTACTTGAACAACGCGTAGTCCATTTTGGAAACAGGTGCGGAACTTGTGAGGGCTGAAAAAAGAGAGCACGCCCGCACAGCACACACCCTACTGTGAATGAACGAAATAGGGGGGAGCACACCGTGTCCACTAGATTCCAGTACTAGTAGCCGTAGTAGCAAACAAAACCACCACTCACAGGGCCATCAACTTTAATGGGAATACCCTCCCAAATGGTTGGTGGACAGAAATACCCACCGCCTGTGTTGACAGAACCATTCAATCAGGATGTTGACAGCCGAGTGTCAACCAGTGAAAATTGCATGGTAGAAAGACTTGTTGAATTGTTGTGGGGTTTGATACGCGGCAAGTTGTGAGGAATCTTGAATCACATGGGAGCATGCTAATAGGATACTGGCTGCTGCGTAATAAAAGAAAATCCACTTCAGAGCTGGACCCAAAGACAAACTTGTGGACCAGAGTAATTGCATTTTGCAGAGAAGTTACCATGCACCGAGGCTGCCAAAACGTGATTTTACGAAGCCTCAAGTAGCTGCTTCCGAACTTGGGACATGTTGGACCAGGGCTCACTCCCGGAAGACCGGAAAGTACTGATTGACTCTGCCCCCGGTTGCATTGCTTGAAAGGGGCGCAACAGTTTTGCCCTGGGAATGCTTCCTGCCTGCTGGCAGAGAAGCTTGGGCAACCTTTGCAGTTCGCAGTCAAAGAAAAACCCAAGCCAACCAAAAGTCAGGATAGTGTTGGCTCCAGTCACCCGAAAGTCGCCAGGGTGAGAAGCCACAGAGCAGCTGCTGCTGAGCTGAGTCGTCGCCAAGTTGCGCGTCGCAAGCGCGAGGGGACCCACTTGTTGGTCCAAGTGGGTCCTCAGGCTTCGTCTCACGGCCGCTTTTGTAAGACCCAGATGATATTTTGTAGGTGTTTGTGTGTGTGTGTGCTTGGTTCCGCGTGTTGTGTGCTTACTTGCTGGTTTACTTGATTGTTTCTTTGTTTGGTTGGTTGGATTGATTTCTTGTTTCATTGTTTGTTTGCTTGTTTGCATGATTGCTGGTCAGTCAGTCAGTTTGCTGTTCTATCACTATTTTCTTGTATTTATTTCTTGCTTGCTTGCTTGCTTGCTTGCTTGCTTGCTTGCTTGCTTGCTTGCTTGCTTGCTTGCTTGCTTGCTTGCTTGCTTGCTTGCTTGCTTGCTTGCTTGCTTGCTTGCTTTGCAAGTGTGTTTGTCGGGATTGTTTGTGTTTGTGCGTTTGCGTGTTTGTGTGTGTGCGTGTCCGTTTGTGCGTGTTGTGTGTTTGCCTGCCTGCCTGCCTGCCTGCCTGCCTGCCTGCCTTCCTGGTTGGTTGGTTGGTTGGTTGGTTGTTTGTTTGCCTGCTAGTGGTAGGTACTTAGTCAGTCAGACAAGTTAGCTAGTTGGTTAAACCCTTAATTGGATTAGTAAATTAACTCGTGTGCAATTTAGATACTGGGTTCTGTTGATGTTTCGTCGATGAGTTGTCGATACTCTTTTGTGTTTTTTTGTCCGTGCTTGTTTGTTTGTTTGTTTGTTTGTTTGTGTTTGTGTTTGTGTTTGTGTGTGTGTGTTTGTGTGTGTGTGTGTTTGTGTGTTTGTGTTTGTGTGTGTGTGTGTGTGTTTGTTTGTTTGTTTGTTTGTTTGTTTGTTTTGTGTTGTTTTGTTTGTTTTGTTTGTTTTGTTTGTTCTGTGTGTTTGTTTGTTTGTGTGTGTGTGTTTGTTTGTTTGTTTGTTGTTTGTGTGTTTGTTTGTTTGTTTGTTTGTTTGTTTGTTGTTTGTTTGTTTTTTGTTTGCTTTGTTTTGTTTTGTTTTGTTTTGTTTGTTCTGTGTGTTTTGTTTGTGTTGTTTGCTTGCTTGCTTGCTTGCTTGCTTGCTTGCTTGCTTGCTTGCTTTGCTTCTTCTTTTTCTCCGTGGTTTGCCTTTTTTGTTTGCGTTGTTTTTGATTGGATGGTCGGTTTGTTTGTATGTTTGCCTGCCTGATTTGTGTGATTGTTGTTCTGTTTCTGTTTGTTTGGTTGTGTGTTTTGTTTGATTTGATTTGATTCGATTCGATTCGATTTGATTGCTTGCTTGATTGATTGATTGTCTGAATGATTGATTGATTGATTGATTTATTGATTTAATTGGTGATTCATTCATTGGTTCATTGATTCATTGATTCATATATTGATTTATTGATTTATTGGTTCATATATTTATTGATTTATTGGTTCATATATTTATTGATTTATTGGTTCATATATGTATTGATTTAGTGATCGATCGATTGATTGCTAATTGCATGCTTTGAATTCGGTTATGTGTTTCTTTCGTTGCTTGCCTGCTTGCTTGCTTGCTTGCTTGCTTGCTTGCTTGCTTTGTTTGTCTGTCTGTCTGTCTGTCTGTCTGTCTGTCTGTCTGTCTGTCTGTCTGTCTGTCTGGTTGGTTCTTGGTTTGTTGGTTTGTTTGGCTGGTTTGTTGCTTGATTGGTTGGTTTGTTGGAGGTGTGCCTGGCTGGTTGGTCGGTTGGTTCTTTGTTTGTGTTTCTGCGTGTGTGTCTTTGTGTGTCTTTGTGCGTCTCTGTGTGTGTGTGTGTGTTTGCGTTTGCGTTTGCGGCGCACACGTGACTCTTTCGCATGTGAGGGTGTTTTCGCATGCTTCTGTGCGTGCAAGCCACGCATTCCACTGCAAGCTTGTTTGACACTTGCCAATGATGGAAGCTAGCAGCTAGCACTCAGTTCCTTCGCACATTATGTTGAATGTCAGCCATACTTCGAGCGGCAGTATAGCCAGAATCCTCCCACTGCTTGGCATTGCAGCTGAGCAGTATTGCCAGAAAATGAGGGTGCATGGTTTTCCCACTTGGACTTGCCCAAAGATTTGCGTGGCTGGCAAAAACTGACATTGTGTCGCCAGCAAGCCACCCGCTCATGGGAAGTCCAGAGGGGTGCGGCATGGTGCCGGGCCCAAATTCGCATATGGCCAGGCCGGATGGCAAAAGAACCAGTGCATGTCAGTCACACAAGAATCAGCAGGGGCACCCTTCTCATTGGAGCGTTTGCAGCTTCGTCCTACAATGTGCCCGCGGCCCGCGAAGGTCAGAAGCCGCCCGGTGGCTAGGTGATAGGCGTCACCTTGGTCCGTCTCCAGACGCGAGAGAACAGTTGCATTTCATACAGTCGCATGTACCCAGCTTGTCCAGTTTTGCAGTTGCTAAATCTTATGTTTCAAGCGAGCCAAAGCGACGGAGATGCAGATCCAGTGACCTTTGCAAGGTGCGTCCCCTTCTAGTCAAAACACTTCACAGCGCACAAGTTAGCATAGCTGGTTGGATCGAAAACAGCCGCAGCCTTTCCCATGTTGGTTGTGTGTTTCAACATTTCGGCAAGGGGATCACCCACTCCGCTGCTTTCACTCCAGAATGCACGAGCCAACTTGTGAGTTGCTTGGAATGGCCTGTGGAAGGAACATGTGGAAACGTGCGCTGCAAAAAAGAACCTGCTTGCCGGATCAGTCTCTCGACATGTGATTGCCCCAATGAGATGCCATGCCATATGATGCCGTTGCTGATCTGCATGGTTGTGGTCATCAAACATGAAGATCTGCCATCTCTTCGAAGAAATGTGGGACATCGCCTATTGAATTATGTTGTTTTGTATTTGAACGAGGAAAAACCATTTCATTGGGGCGGACAAGCCAATTTGTTCCAAATCATGCCTTATAAACAACTCGCCGGTGTACGAAACTTTGCAGGGCAACAAATCCAATTTGCGGGAAGGTGTCATCCAGGAATCCCATGAATGCAACCATCCTTCCGACTCATTCCTCGAGAAGTGGCCCACAAGCGCGCTGCGTGTACCACAATGGCGCAGATCCGGGACGTGTTGCCATTGAAGCCTTTTCTGATCTGGAGCAGCCTCGATGATGCTTCCAGACCTAGTACCAGAGAGTAGAGATGAGCAACTAAAGCAGCTTCTTGCTCAGAGCAAGTAGAGCATTACGTGGCCAAGCGACTGTGCGCCAAGGCCATGTCGGTCGTGATGAGCAAGCAGCTGAATGGCATTATCGCCTTTGAACGTGCTGTGGGGTACTTGCAGAGTTGGATCCAGCACTGGCTAACTTGGAGGAATCAGACGGCGTGAAGACAAATACTCGCAGTCCATAGTAACACAGGGCACTAATCAGACATCAAAGAAAACAAGGGGCCTTGCATCCCAGTGAAATTCGGCATGGCAGTGAACGGCCAAGGAACCTCACCCAATGAGTTTGGTTTGTGGGGCACAGCCGGCCTGCTCAGACAGAGCAATCTGACTGATAGACTGTGATTGCAATGCAAGCAGATTCAAATGGGCAACACAAATCAGATGTTGGAGCCGCTGCCTTAAAAGGTGCGTGGATTCAACACCCAAGAGTCTTGAGTCTTAACTGGGGTAGAATTCTACAACACAATGCTGACCATTTGCTGTTGAGTAATTGTTATTGAGTCTTGATAGACTCTCGGAATGTTCAGAGGACTGTGCCGTCATGTGCAGATCATGTACTTGCCCAGCACCGAAAAGAAATTGACATGCGCGCAACACAAAAAGGGGCGTCGCGACATAGCACTGCACTCGGACGCTTTGGTAGATACCCAATATGGCTGTGTGTGTGTCTCTTGAGGGTACCCTTTTTGGGGTCGATTGAAAAGGAAAGTGACCAAGAGAAAACCAGCTCTTTGGGGCTTCTCCTAGTGTGAGGCTGGCTGTTGCTGGGATGCTGTCTGTGTGTGTTTTCGTGTTTGCTTTTTGTGTTTGCTTTTAGTGTTTTTTTTGTGACTGTCTCGGCAGGTTTTTGCAGCCACCGCTGATTTTGACACCGGAGCCCATGGAAGAAGCGTTTCAGTCGGTTCGCACTCAGCATGCAGACGAAACGAAAACGCGCACGTTCGCTCGACTGCAGGCAGAGCCCTCAGACCAAGAGGTGGGCTGCGCTTGCTTTCTGCTTTGGGGCATGTGGAGAGCGTTATCAGTGCACTTGCAAGAGAAGCTCCCAAGGTGGGAGCACGTTGCCGGTGTGATGCCTGATAACTTGAGGAATCGATCATGGTGGTTATGGCTGACGACTGTTTGGCTAGCCATTTGATGTTTCTGTGTTTGTGTTTGTGTGTGTGTGCCGGCTTGTGGCAATCCATTTTGAAGTTGCAAGCGCCATTCTTTGTAGATTTCGACCTGTTGACTCGGCATATTTGGCATGGAGCATGGGTACGACGATATAATATGCAAACTTTTTAGCTGGTCACTTACTGAAGCAGGTGAAAGCCTCTGCTGAAGTGGACAAGGAGCCAGTCGCAACGCTTGCTTGTTTGTGAGCCACGTGCAGACGGCGTTGACCCTGCTAACAGGATGCAGCCACCTTGCAGATCACAGCTTTCGGGGGAAGGGAGCATGTTTGTGATCCTTTCGTCTGGCTTCATGCGCGGCAGGCCCATGGAGCACTAAGAGCAGAGCCCTCACACCAACAGGCTGGCACCTTTGCGTTGACTGCCTTTTTTTATCCATGAAGTGTCATTCGTTGTAGAATTTCGACCTCGCAGACAGTTGACGCGGCATGTTTGGCATAGGGCATGGGTACGACAATGTACGCAAACTTTTTAGCTGGTCACTTGCTGAAGCAGGTGAAAGCCTCTGCTGAAGTGGACAAGGAGCCAGTCGCAACGCTTGCTTGTTTGTGAGCCACGTGCAGACGGCGTTGACCCTGCTAACAGGATGCAGCCACCTCGCAGATCACAGCTTTCGGGGGAGGGCTTCATGCGCGGCAGGCCCATGGAGCACTAAGAGCAGAGCCCTCACACCAACAGGCTGGCACCTTTGCGTTGACTGCCTTTTTTATCCATGCAGCAGTTGCTTTCTCTGCTTTGGGTCATTTTTGTCAGGAGAGTGCTATCAGTGCGTCTGCCGCAAAAGCACCCTCGGAGGCGAGAGCAAGTTGCTGGTGTTGAGATAGTATGCTGTGAAGCTTGTCATCATGGTCATGGCTGATGACTGTTTGGCAAGCCATTTAGAAGTTTATGTTTTTTTGTGTGCTTGTTCTTTGTTTGCTTGTCGTGTTTACGTGTGTTTGTGTGTTGTTTTATGCTTTTTGTTTGTTTTGTTTGGTTAGCTTGCCTGCTTGTCTTTTTTGTTTGTTTGTTTGTTTGTTTGTTTGTTTGTTTGTTTGTTTGTGTGTGTGTTTGTTTGTTTGTTTGTTTGTTTGTTTGTGTGTGTGTGTGTGTTTGTTTGTTTGTTTGTTTGTTTGTTTGTTTGTTTGTTTGTTTGTGTCTTTATGTGTTTCCTTCTCTATCTTTTCTTTCTTTCTTTCTTCCTTTCTTTCTTTCTTTCTTTCTTTCTTTGCTTGATTGATTGCTTGCTTGCTTGCTTGCTTGCTTGCTTGCTTGCTTGCTTGTTTGTGTTTTGCTTGTTTGGAAGTTTGTTTTGTTATTTGTGTTTGAGAGACAGCCTTCTGCGATCCACTTGCGAAGTGTCATTCGTTGTAGAAGTTCGACCTCGCAGACAGTTGACGCGGCATGTTTGGCATAGGGCATGGGTACGACAATGTACGCAAACTTTTTAGCTGGTCACTTACTGAAGCAGGTGAAAGCCTCTGCTGAAGTGGACAAGGAGCCAGTCGCACCGCTTGCGGGTTTGTGAGCCGCGTGCAGACGGCGTTGACCCTGCTAACAGGATGCAGCCACCTCGCAGATCACAGCTTTCGGGGGAGGGCGCATGTTTGTGATCCTTTCGTCTGGCTTCATGCGCGGCAGGCCCATGGAGCACTAAGAGCAGAGCCCTCACACCAACAGGCTGGCACCTTTGCGTTGACTGCCTTTTTTATCCATGCAGCAGTTGCTTTCTCCGCTTTGGGTCATTTTTGTCAGGAGAGTGCTATCAGTGCGTCTGCTGCAAGAGCACCCTTGGAGGCGAGAGCAAGTTGTTGGCAGTGTGACGCTGAAGACCCCGAGGATAGATATTGTGTGGCTCAAAAATGGTGTTTCTGTTACGTTTGTGTTAGATTTTGTGTGTGTGCGTGTTCGGGTGCTAGCCTTCTGCAATCCAGTTGCAGGTGTCATTGTTTGAAGACTTTCAGCTTTCCGGAAGAAAGTTGGTCAGGTATGCTTGGCACGGGTACGGCAATATATGCAAAGATTTAAGCTGGTGACATACTGAAGCAGGTAAAAGCCTCTGCTGAAGTGGACAAGGAGCCAGTCGCACCGCTTGCTTGTTTGTGAGCCACGTGCAGACGGCGGTGACCCTCCTGTTAGCTAACAGGATGCAACCACCTCGCAGATCACAGCTTTCGGGGGAGGGCATGTTTGTGATCCTTTAGCATGGCTTTATGCGCGGCAGGCCCATGGAGCACTAAGAGCAGAGCCCTCACACCAACAGGCTGGCACCTTTGCGTTGACTGCCTTTTTCATCCATGCAGCAGTTGCTTTCCTTGCTTTGGGTCATTTTTGGCAGGAGAGTGCTATCAGTGCGTCTGCTGCAAGAGCACCCTTGGAGGCGAGAGCAAGTTGCTGGTGTTGAGATAGTATGCTGTGATGCTTGGGAACTTGAGGATACATCGGTTATCATGGTCATGGCTGACGACTGTTTGGCAAGCCATTTGGATGCTTATGTTTGTTTGCAAGAGATTCCCAATCCATGCCCTCACAAAAGCTGTGTTTGTGGTTTCTTACATTTTGTTACGTTAATTGAGAAGTCATTGGCAGATCATGGCTTTTGGGAGGGAGCACATTTGTGATCGCTTGAAAGTTTTGCACAGAGCCCTTACACCAAGAGGCTCCCTGCAGTAGCGAGCGTCTGCCATTCACTGCTGCACCGTTGCATTGATACAGCTGCGTTGGTTGCTTTCAAGCTCGCAGCTTACATGTTGTATTTAGGCACACATGCCAGGCACATGGTAAGCACGTCCGTTCCAGTGCACCCTCTCAGCACTGCACACATGCGAGGCACATGGTAAGCACACCCGTTCAAGCGCGCCCGCTCAGCACTGCACATGCCAACACCTGGTAAGCACACCCGTTCTGGGTAGTTTAGAGGACATGAAAGCAGTGTCACGAAATGCTGCGCGCACGAACGAAAAAGTGACCCTGAATCAGCGTGCTAGTGGGATTTGGAACTATTGATTTATTAATTTGACTGCTTGCCCGCTTGATTGTCTGGCTTATATTACTTTTTTTGAATTGAGGTGCCTTGAGCTGATTCATTCATGCACTCATTCGCTCATTCACTCATTAACTTAGTCAGTCAGTCAGTCAATCAGTCAGTCAGTCAGTCAGTCAGTCAGTCATTGTTTGGTTCATTGTTTGATTCATTGATTCATTGGTTGGATTGGATTTGGTTGGATTGATTGATTGATTTATAGATCGGTCGATTTGATTGGTTGTTTGAATTGTTGGCCGATTGGTTCGTTTGGTCCGGTTTGGTTTGATTGATTGGTCGATTGATGATTGGTTGGTATGTCGATTGTTTGGTTGGTTGATTGATTAGTTGCTTGATTGATTGATTGATTGATTGATTGATTGATTGATTGATTGATTGATTGATTGATTGATTCATTGATTCATTGATTCATTGATTCATTGATTCATTGATTCATTGACTGATTGAGGCATGGATGGATTCATGATTGAACGGATTTGATTGAATTTGGTTCATTGGTTGTTTGGTTGGTTGAGTCGGTTTGTTGGATCATTGGTTCATCGATTATTTGTTCATTGATGCCTTGATTATCGGTGCATTGGTTCATTGATCCGTTGTTGTATTGACACATTGCGTTACTTGGTTTGTTCATCCGTTTGTTCATTCATTTGTTCGTTCATTGATGAATTCATTCATCCATCCATCTATTCATTGCATTGCATTTCATGTCATTTCATTTCGTTTCATGTCATTTCATTATATTGTCAACAAGCCATCAATGCACCAACCCATAAACCAACGCGAAATGACTATATACACAAACATGAATCGACAAAACCCATGAATCAATGTGTTCATGAATGAATGAATGAATGAATGAATGAATGAATGAATGAATGAATGAATGAACGAACGAACGAATGAATGAATGAATGAATGTACGAATGAATGAATGAATGAGCGAATGAATGTATAAATGAAATGAATGCATGAAGGAAGGAATGGAAGGAATAAAGGAATGAAGGAATGACTCAATAATTGAATGACATGAAACGGAACGGAACGGATCGGATCGGATCGGAACGGAACGGAACGGATGGATGGATGGATGGATGGATGGATGAATGGATTGAGTGGATGGAATGGATGGAATGGATGGAATGGATGGAATGGATGGAATGGATGGAATGGATGGAATGGATGGAATGGATGGAATGGATGGAATGGATGGAATGGATGGAATGAAGGGATGGATGAATGACTGACTGAAGGAAATGAATGAAATATTGATGGAATGCTTGCTTGTTTGCTCGCTCGCCTGCTTGCTCGATTCGATTCGATTCGATCTGATTGTTTATTTGGTTGATTTGGTTCCTCGAATGATTGATTTGGCTGGTTGGTTTATTGATCACTGATTGCATGTACGTGGCCTGGTTGTGTCGTCCACTGACTGCTTGGTTGGTGACCGGTTTGTGTTTGCGTTACGTGGAGTGGTTGCTGTCATGCTTAGTTGGTTGGTTGGCTTTATGATAGAATGCCGGAATGCTGGATTGCTTGCTTGTTTGGTTGGTTTCAGATTGATTCTTTGTGTGGTTGGCTGGCTGGTTCATTGATGGATTGGTTGCCTGTGTGTATGTGTGTGCGCATGTGAGTGTGTTTATATTTTTCCTTGTGACATGATGGTGCTTGTGTGTGCACGCACACTTCCAATTGACCAGTTCCAGATTGTCCAATCCGAACCTTGGGTACTTGGGTTGTATTGTACGTACAAGCAGGTCACTGAGCGCACTGTGCTGACTGAAGAGCCCAATGGCGGCATTTTCGCGACAGAGGCTGGTCGCACGTTGATGAGATGTTGGCACAGCATCCTTGAGGGAACTGAGGGAAACGAGTGGAACACGAAGTTCTGAATATCATTGCCGTGTTTCCACGCGTTTCTCAGGTTTTCAGAATGTGTTTCTCGTGATTTCCCCACATTCCTCCAGGTCAACGTCGGGTACAGCCCAGGTCAAGGCGCCGGGTCTGAAGTCTGGGTTAGAAATCCGAGAGTCTGTCAATGAGAAGTGTGTGGGCGTGTAAGCAGAAGCCTCAACAGTTGCAACAGGTGAGACGCTTCTTGAGAAACTCGGCGTGCATATGCAATGGTTGTTAATCCAAAGGAGTCTACCAGATTGCAAAGCAGCCACTGGCGATGTGGTCGAAGAACCAGTACTTGTAGGTTCCCTGGAGCTCCTAAGCGTACCTCGTGTGCTGCAACTTCTCATGTGCGAGCTGGAGCTGAGCAAAGTGTACTTTGTGCCTGCACGTGCACTGAACAGTTTTTCGACTTTCGAGCTGCCTTTGGTCCAAAGTGTTCCAGCTCCGTGCACTCCAGGTGCTGAGAACCAAGCATTGCGCCGGGAAGTGGGGAGCACAGGTCACTATTCGAGTGGCCGGTTCGACTGTTGGGGAAGCAACTCGTTTCGTTTGGTGATGCTGCGCCCTCCTGACTGGGTTCCCCCAAACAATCAATCAGTCGAGCGCGTCCTACTTTGTAATTTGCTTTCATGCTCAGAAATACTATGAGGACTACTTCCCCTTCGACATCCCTCTCCTTCCTTTCATGTTCGGAATTGGGGACTATCCTGCCTGAGATAGTACTGGGAAATATTGGGAATGTCTCTTACTGGGATTCACTCGTGTTTAGTCCCGGGCATTACTTTTCCAGAGACCTACCGGGCCAAGACATAAAAGAGGGCACCATTGGATCGGGAGCAAAACGCTCCCCCCCCCCCGGGAGAACATGGTGTTTTGTGTGAAGGTATGGTTCTCTTTCTAGAAATGCTCCAGGGTCAGGTTTTGATAGTTAAACGAATCTCGCACACTGTCAAAAGCCAAAAGAAATGCAGTAATGTGAGAGTGCCCAGAATGACCAGGCCCAAGACATGGCAGTAACCCAGGCTCTATCTATGTAAAGGCAAGCTGCTTCATGCGGTTGGAGTTTGGCCACGTATCCATGAAGAGAAGCCACGAGGAATGATAGGTACGTCTCTTTCTTGCACCGCGGCGAGGAAAACGCGTGCAACTGTGCCCCGACCAGGAACAATGGAAGGAGAGAGCAAAGATGCTGATGAGTGTGAGGGAAGGGGTGTTCAAATCTTGATTCATGCCATTGCAATGTGAGGTTCAATCCACATCGACAGTTTGTTTGCTTCAGTCATTTATCCCAAAGCCATGCAGCCTCCTTGCCACGTGATCACAGGGTGGGCGTCCAAAAGCAAATTATGATTTTCAGATCCCATCGTACGCATTGTTGGACGGGCACGGAAATCGATGTGCTCTATTCGTCCTGCAACTTAGCCTTGCCCATGAATGTGCATTTGATTAATTTGTTCGGATCTCAACAGCAAGGCGCAAATTTGTCATCATGACCATGTTTTTCTTGTTGAAGGTGTCAACCGAACTTACTGTAAGGTACCTGGCACGTAGTTATACCCGTATGTCAGCCTCAGCGAAAATGGCCACCTTGCAGCGATGAGCAGGTTTCTTTCCGCGAGAACAGGCACCTCAGGCTCAAAAAGAGGTGAAGGCAACATGGCATTGAAGAGTGTTTTAGTTCCAAGCGTCAATCACTCGGTGTCATAATTGCTAGCTGGTTGTTACTTATTCATGGAATCCTTCTTATCGCTTGCGGCGCACAATGAAGACCTGAAGTCCAAGCATGGACCGCATTCGCCGTGACGCCTACATGCTATTCCGTTGCCCTTCCCAACGGCCAACGGCTCGCTTGCGCTTAGTCTCTAGGTCGCTCGCCTGGAGAGAGCACGGCCCCAAGAGGAGTTGGAACGCTAGTTGTGTTCACTTTCTCCATGTTGGGCGCACTGCATGTTGGAATGCGTTCCCAAGAAGATACATGTTGCCGATTTCGCGGAAATGCAATGTACATGCTTGACCATTGTTTACCAAGGTCTCAATCGGACGAGAATATTCCTAAAACAAACGCATATGACATTTCGATGAACAGATAATGAGTATACAAAAACTCAAATCTCATTGATCTGGATTGTGATAAGCAGGCAATGCACTGTGTTGCTCAAGTGTCATCAAGGGTCATGAATGAAGGGATTTCTCACACCTCCCCCCCTCATTCCCCCGCTTGCCCCATGTCCCCTTCCCCCCTCATTCCCCACCCCCCACCTTTTGGTGCCAGAGCACCAAAGGCGGTGATCCCTTGACGCCGGTGAAACCCAAGGATACAAGTGCCCCTCAAAGGTGCAAGTGAGCCATGCCATTTGAGGCGCAAGTGAACCCCCTGCCTCTCTGCCCCGATCCAACAGTGCAAGGCTTGCACTGGTAGCTAAAAGAAGGCACCAGGCGCTTCTGCCGCGTTCAGGCCCGGAGGTTCCATTTGGAAGATGCCACCTGGTCAAACAGTACATACAAATCCAGGCCCCGCCAACTCTTGCAGTGCAAAAAGCTGCATGCAAAAAGAAACCGGAAACTCGTTTTCCAGGATCTGCAAAGAGGGTCTCGCAAGTGCGCTCCCCTGCAGTCCTGGGGACCCAGTGGAGTCAGGGGCCCACCTCTGGGTTTTCTTGAGCGGGGCAAACGGAACTGTTACATCACCTGTTCCTTGAGTGTAGATCATCCCTAGATCTGTGCCGGCATCGCCGATTGGCCCAAGTGTTACTGAAAGTTGTACTCGTTTGCCGAAAGCGAGCGATTGGGGGGTGTTTCCGCGTACCCTGAGTAAGATTGCGTTTTCGGATGATTTATGACCGCTCACAGGTCCAGTTTTAAGCTTCCAGACAGCCGTGAATCTTTCCAAAGACCTTATTGACTTGGTCATTGCTTTAGCGTGTACCGGCTTTGGAATTGACCTGCTTCATGGGTAAGGTATGGGTAAGGTCAGGGAGAAAGCTAATCCCCAGAGGTGCCGCGTTCGTAGCCACCAGCTTACCCATGAGTTGAGCATGGGAGACTAGTTCGGGGATAACCCCAGGGGTAGATATAGGACAAAGTTCAATCACAACACTACGTAGACACAGATCTAGATATAGCTGAGGTAAAAACATATAGGTCGTAGATTATACATATTTGCTCGGACAATATAGTCTTACACAGCCACTACGGACAGCATCCCGGGCTTTGCTGCGCTTACGGCGCCATGCCTAGAGGCGCGTGCTGCCAGAGCCGGGTGGGAGTGTGCCATCTTCGTTAAGAAGGATGGCAGGTCGCTGAACATCGTATGGCGCGATTTCCGGAGCTTTGCGTTTGACACTTGAAGAGCCATGCTTTGGTTTGACAAACAGATGCTGTGTGTGTGTGTGTCTTGTTTGTGGTGTGCTCTTGGTAGAACGTGCAGGAAGAGGTCCAGATGTGCGACTTGGACAGATGCCGATGCTTCCGGCTTTGAGGAATGCACCTCCTTTGGAAACCAACAGCAGGAGACTGCGACGTTTGGCACATATATATATAATATATATATAATATATATATACATATATAATAAGGTTTGACTTAGGTTGCTCATATCACCTACGTCATTGGTTTCGTCGCCTAATGGCAGCACAGTTGTCAGGGATGCTTGACTGATTTACCTGTGCAGGTTCATTCGCACGGATCGCGTGAGGCGCGACAGGGAGGGAGGTTGTAGCGGGATGTGAGACATGTTGATTGTCAGATGTATGGCAATATGATGCAAGCAGCTAAAATAATAAATTGCACGGCAAAGTAGAGTTAATTCCAGATCCACCTGCGGTCGCCCTCTTTGGCACTCGTGGAGAGGATTGACATATATCATATACGGTAGCTCATGTTGCTCTTTGCATTGGCCGGTTTTTGTGGCATACTGGCGACGGATGTTGGTATTGCAGTAGTGTCCCCCCAACAGATGAAAACGGATGGGATGATTGTTGTTTCCTGAACACTGAGAGGCAAACATGGCCCCAATAAGCTGCAGGTGCACCTCCATAGCAAATCCGCATCCCGTGCCGCAAGGAAGTCCATCTTCGAGATGCAATTCAGTCAGCATACAAATGCTTAGGTCACTTCGCAGGTTTGGAGACTTCACCGGGGTCACGATTGTCACACTCAACACCCGGGTAAGCCAAGGACAGGGACAGTCCCAAGCAGAAAATAGCCGCCCTTGTAATTCTTTGCCATCAGTTTTGGGCCAGGCTATCTCAATGGGCATGACTCACCCCCACTTTTTGCCAGGTGACATCATGGGCCTCGAGGATTTGGGACTGAGCGAGAGGCTCGGAGCTTCTCCGCTGGAGGTTCTTCTCTTGCCTCGTTTGAGGCTTGGCGAACGCCGATGTTTCCAGACTGTTCTGTGGTCGTCCCCTTTGTTTCTCGATCTTGGGGCTGCATTTGATTTCCTGCGATTGGGTTGATTCACTCGTTGCACATAGCCCCAGTGGCCTGGCAGGACGTGCCCTAGAGCATCATAGATGCAAAGCATGGCTGGCCAGAGGGGTTCCACCAGCCAACTTGTCGCGGGGTTTTCCAATGTTTGATGTGTTGATCATAGCAAAACACTTGCAGTCACTATCAAAATGCCTGCAGTCACTAGCAGCTTTCAAAGTAACAGTGCAGCAGTCTAGCCACGGTTGATTGAAGAGAAGCAACGTGTGGGTTGGGTCAAAATAAACCACCAGGGGACCGCAGGTTTTAGTTTCGGTTCCCCTTACCAGGGTTCCATTTTGGGTACGTATTTTTGACCCAGAGCAATGTGTTTTTGTTTTTTACGCCCAATCAATAGCCTGCGGCCTCGCCAGCACTGCCTCGATGATCGTGTGGGCCTTGCGCGCGCTGCTGCCAGTACTACTCTTTCTTATATGGCCACTCGGCAGCACTTTTGTCCTTACCCATGTCCCCACCGCCAAAACTGTGTGTCGAAGGGGGACATAGCCCTCAGAAAAAATGAGCCCTTTTTGGAGAGTTGTCCCTTGTGGGTTTCTCCCAGTCAGGGGGTGGCTCCATGTGGGTCCCAAGAAGCGTCCGGTCTTGATTTTGGCTGTGCTCCAAGCGCCCTTCTGAGTTGAACGTGACATGGCCCGCCAAAAATCTCGTAATGATGGCTTCGTGCAAAACATAATCCTATTCACAGCTGTGTCCTCCAACAGTGATGAACCCCCAATAAAGATGGACCCCCCACTACTAATCAACCAGGGGTTTATTCACCCGGGGTTCGCATTGCTTGTGTCGCAGAGGTGGCACTTTGACACGAAGGGAGCTGATTCATACACAATCCAGCAAGCGAGCGGTTCAAAAGCAGACATGCTGTATTTAAAGATATTTAAAGCATTTGCCCTTCCAATGTCACTGAGTTGGCGTTGGAAGATTTGGAAATGTCGGCCAGTGCTCAGGTACGCCACGCAGCCCCCGGAGACTTGGGCTTGCCTCAAAAGCAGTCAAGGCCACTGCATGCCAGGCCCAGATTGTATACATATATATATATATACCCGTATCTATTCATATTAAAGTTCAGAATACATATATACATACATACATATATAAGTGATCCTTGAAATTGGACAATGAACCGGAGCGCCTTGAGGGATGACAACTCCCTTTGACATGTTATTGACGCTAGCCTAAGTAGTGGACCTCAGCACCTTACCAAGTGACGCCCTGAGATCTAGTTCTCCGGATTGCACCTTGTTTGGAAACGGCCCGTGGAAGTCATGGCTGACAGGCTCTTCGGCGAAAAACAACGAACAAGGTTTCAGGAACGAGTGCCCTGGCAACAGCGTTCAAATCATTTGCAAGACAGAAGCTCTCATTGTGGCCAGCAGCCAGATCCAAGCATCGGTCGGTGAGTCGGCCAGGAGCCCAAGCAATGTTATGCCCGCGGCCAGCTTCTGGCTGTGCGCCAGGCCTGACTGGGGCCAGAGAATGAGGAGAAGCTCAGAATGTCCATAGGAACGCCCTCCCAAATGCTTGGTGGACATAAATTATTACCCACACAATAAATTCTGACCCACAATTTACATCTAAGACAGCCACATGAGGAATTGCCTTGAGTATAGCAAGTCCGACATGTTTTGGGCAAGAGGCATTTAGTATACTCTTGTACCTGCTCTTGCAAGCTGCACAAGTTCAATCCTTGGGAGAAGGACGCCGAAAGCAATGGACAAGTAATGGCTTTCAGACCATGAACTCTTATTTTGATGTCCTCAGGACTGAATTTTGTCGTACAAGCAAAATTCCGGCAAGCCTCTGGTCGAGCTGCCAACAGGTGTTTCTGAAGATTGGCAGCCTGGTGTTGTAGCAACATCCGGTCCAGATGGGTTGGGGCCAGAGGATGTTTCAAGACCCAAGTTGTTCGAAGACACTTTGTATGTCAAGTGGTTCTGCATGCTGGACAAGTCCATATCTCGAACAATGTGATAGCGTGACTCATGTGAAGTTCGTTATTGATGCCGTACAACCACACACAGACACATGGCATTAACATGTAGTTCCACTAAAATTCTAGCGAGATGATTCAGCGTGCTCTGAATAGCGATTTGCGCAGACTGCGTTTTTGCATAGTGAGCAGTAGTTCGTGGGATGGGGGGTGCCCGCCTTTGTGCCTGGATGGGTGCCAGACATGTGAGAAGACAACAGGTTTACAGTGTTGGCTCAAGGCATTGACTCAGTCTGTACAGCGCGTACTGAAGCCATGGGTGTCATCTTTACCAAGCTATTGAGACGAATTATGTGCACCTACGATCAGAGAATCCTGATGATCGGTCTGGATGGCGCAGGCAAGACCACCATGCTCTACAAGCTAACATTAGGTGAGGTTGTGTCAACGATTCCTACGATCGGATTTAATGTGGAGACGGTGTACCACAAGAATGTCTCCTTTACCGTTTGGGATATAGGAGGGCAAGATAAACTTCGCCCATTGTGGCGTCATTACTATTCAAACACTGCTGCAATAATCTACGTAGTTGATAGCAGTGACCGAGATCGTATTGAAGATTCTGAGAGAGAGCTAGCCAAGATGATGGAAGAGGAGGAGCTTCGTGAGGCTGCGCTCCTGGTCTTTGCAAATAAGCAGGATCTGCCAAATGCGATGACAGCGGTAGAGATCACAGACAAACTGGGGCTCAACAAGTTGGAGAACCGGCGATGGTTTATTCAGTCTGCCTGCGCCACAACTGGCGATGGCTTGTACGAGGGATTGGACTGGGTGACAGGCATACTTTGTTCCAAGAGCTAGCCATCCTGGAAAGCCTAGGAAAGCTGAGCGCGTCGTGAGAGTAAGGCGAATCCTTGTGTAGTGGATGAGTCTCATTAAAATTGAACTGCACATTTTTGTTGATCCATGCCCTTATGTAGCGGGCATGCCCAAAAAATGTCCGTTTCAGCCACCGCTTGCAAAAGCAAGGCCTGTGGTTTGATGTTTGAATGACGCAGTGTCGCTCAAATGCCCGCTCCACCCACACTGCAAGGTTTCCACTAGCTGGACGCTAGAACAAGAGGCTTCCAGAGTTCCTTTGCCCCCCAAAATGGTTTTTGGGGAGTACGGTTGCCGCAGAAATAGAACTACTCTGGAGGATGACTGTTCCCCTGATCTACAAATCACAAGAAAGCTTGCTCTCTAACCTTGCTATGATTGTAGCATGTGTCCATACGTTTGTTTTGTCTTCCATGAGGAAGTCACTGGGATGTGCACACACCTCCCAAGTATTGCTTGACATTGCAACAAGGTGCTCAGCTGAACAGCGATTCGTTTTTTGGTCTGACCAACCAAAATGGAGGTGCCCTTCAAAGTACGACACCCAAATCAACCTTAAAAGGGAAAAACCAACCAAGTACAAGCAGCCAAAAAAGGGGCTTCCATCAAAAACACACCCACATCACCAAGGATTTGCCGTAGAATTTCACAACATATCAAACCGAGAGCAGGGGGTCCCCTTCAAGAAAAGCACGCAATTCAACCTCGAAAAGTAAAACCCAACCAACCACCACCAAAAAGAGAGTTCCAACCAAACAAACCGAGAAGACCACAAGCCTCACGCCCAAAAGCGCAGTAGGGTCCTTGGCCGCCATTTTTAATGGCCCCAAAAGCTGATCACCTTCTACTTTTTTTTATGGCAACTGAGGCACCCTTGACGTGTTTCTCCCAAAATCCCCGGGACGGGTGAGGGCGGGGGTGTGCCAATTCGACTCGAGGCGTTGCTCAGCGCGGGCCTGGTGCCTGCCCCGGAGCTCGCGTCTCTGCGCCTGGACGCCGTGAAAGCGGCGACACGCCAGGCGCGCGAAGCGGCGAGCGGGAACCAGCGTCTTGTGTTTGTGTTTGCCTTTTTTTTCTAAGAGGGAGAGAGAGAGAGAGAGAGAAAAAAAAAAAGAAACAAACAAGAAGGAAGCACGACAACATGCGTTTTGTGTTTTACCTCATGTTTGAGGTCAGTTTTGGCGTCCTCTCTCAAAAGGTTGGGGGGAATCGGCGTGTGATAACCATCTTTGTTCACGAAAGGTGTAAGGTTGCTGCAAGTGTCCTATCGGTGGCAGCGACTTCCAACTGTCGTGCTTGCTAGCAAAGCGTTGCCGGATGCGAGGAAATCCTCCCAGCAAGGCTGATTGTCGAAATGGGTGTGAATTTCAAAGAGGGATCCTTTGGTGAACATCATTTAGGTGGGGATTCCTGTCCACCAACCACTTTAGAGGTGGCTCCCTATCGAAATTCATGGCCATATTGCGCCTTTGAGTCAGTGTGGTATACTGACATTGAGCCAAAGCCGCAGGAAAGCCACATGTTTCAAGCTGTTTCTTGCCAGGACGCTCGACCCACCCGGAGGCTGGAAGCACTTTTGTTGCCATGACCGACCCGTCTAAAGGCTCCTTTTGCTGCCCTTCCGTGCCATTTTGAGTTGTTTGTACTCTGCGCAAACGACCAGTTCCGACACTCCGACACTCCGACACTCCAATTGCCCTTGGTTTGATGGTTTTTTGACTGAAAACAACGGTGCTATTTTTCAGCTCCATCCCCTGATGCCGTACAGTGTCCTAGCTTTGCAACACTTTGGTTCTTCATTTAGGCAGGTGCTGTGGCTGCTTATGAGCACTAATATTGCTTCACACGAAATTATCTACAACAGCAAGGCAATGAGGTCGCAACTATGGACCAAATGAACACAGTGAATAGAGTAACATGAAATTCCATGCTTGAATGAGTGGAAGAAATGTCATGGCATGATCAATGGCTGAGTGGGAGGGACGGCGGGAGGACGAGACAGTGGCGGGAGAGGGGGACAGAAATGTTGCCTGGGAGGGAATGAGTGAAGGAGCGAATATAACAAGAGCTGTTGAATTGCATAATGACCTAGAAATGGAATGGATGGAAGGCGTCAAGCCACTGAGGGATATCATGTGCTTCCTTAAAACGTGACGAAAAGGGGACGTATTCTGAGCAACAAGCCCCTTTGTTGCGCCTTACTGCTATTTGCACGCCGCCACACTGGCAGGCCAAAGGCAGAGCCCAAAGAGCCGAAGGCAGAGCCAAGGGAGGTGAAGGAGCCAAGGGAGGTGAAGGAGCCAAGGGAGGTGAAGGAGCCAAGGGAAGTGAAGGAGCTGAAGGAGGTGAAGGCAGAGAGGCAGCCGAAGGAGCCAAAGGAGCAAGAGACGAAGGAGCAGAAGGAGCTGCCACAAGAGTCAGAGAGTGAGGAGGCGCGAGACATGGTCTGTCCGAGTCCTTGTTTGATCACTCTAGCGGGAAATCACAGGCGCCAGAAGTGTTTCGTGAATGCAGTCCAAAGCAGCTGCTGTAGGCAGAGTGCGAAGGAATGGACCCTCACCTTCACAGGGAATGGTTGGAAGTCCATGAGCGACGCATGACGGCAAAGCCAAAGGGCTGGCGCTTTGTTCAGAGCGCCCCAGAGCTTCCCAGTGCACCGCTGCATTTCAGGCGTCCGAACTGGCCCATGCCTCAGCCAATTTGACGTCTCGCCAAGAAAGTGCCGCTTCCGTGCGGCGTTGTGCGATGCACCTATGCACATGGGAGGCAGATTAGGACTACTTGCTGAAGAGGCAAAAGTCTGTCAGACTTGTGGGACCTTTTTTTTCCCAACGTGTTCCCGCCGTGCTCTAAAGGGGCAGGGTTGTTTCTGTGCGAAAGACATTGTGAGCTTGAACTTTTGTGTAAGGAAGGTTGATGGCAAAGGTGTGCATCCAACTTGCAAGGCGCCCAAAGATCTAGAGTCTTTCTTGAACTTTGTGGCCTTCAAGCACAAGGCGCCTGCCGTGTACGGATGTGTTCGGCGAGCCGGCGGTATCCGTTCCACGAATCAGGGTCGGTGGCAATTTCAGATGAATAGACCTTCTCCCCATTTCCTGAAATGTCAGTCATCCTACCGCGAGCCTCCAGCTCTGAAGTGAGCCAAGAAACTTTGGCATTTGAAAGCATATAGCCCTCGATTCTAGGGCCTTCCTAGGACCTTTTTAGTCTAGTATATTTCTAGTTGCACAGAACGTGTCTGAACAAGTGTTGGCCACGGATGCGGATAAGAAGTCGTTCTGTGTAAGCTGCCCGGCTGTTAAACCTAAGCTGCAAGGTGAACCAAACACCACCTGCCAACAACTTCCCCTTGCCCCCAGGCGACTTTCCTGACTGTTGGTGAGTTGTTCTCTGTTTGTCCAGCATTTGCCTTGCCGATCTTGCCGATCTTGCCGATCTTACCGCTGGTGCTCAAGGCGCTTGGCGACCCGTTGCCTTCCATTTCTGTTTCGAGATGGCCTGTGCCATGGCAATCCCGATGAACTGGGCAGAGACGCAGTTCGTGCAGATGCCGGTGCCGCTCTACCCGGTGGTGCCAATGCCAATGTACTGGATGAATGAGGTAGAACAAGTGTTCTACTGTGTGCCGCAGATGCCGCAGATGCCGCAGGAGCCTGGGTTGCCTAGCATGTGCATGAACGGGCTTGCATGCAGGAGAAGGTTGCCCCTATACTGATACTGCACCGGCGGGTATGTGCTGATGCATGTCAAAATGAATGGACAGCCTCATTCTTAGTGTTTTTCGTTAAAGATGAAGCCAGACGGAAACCATCCATTTTGAGGTTTGGCCATTTGTTTTTGGCAGTCTGTAGTCTGTTCCCGTCTTGTGTCGATCGCATATTGCACCTTCGCGTGAAACAGAGGTTGTGCTTCCGGAGGTTCTATTGTTTTTAGGTCAAGGTGGCCCGAACCAGTGGCTGGGTCGACCTGCGAACTTGGCAGGAGTGCGCCGCCGAACCCACCGCGTGGGAGTTCGACTGGAGCATTCCGCAAGAGAAAGGGCCAGAGGCAGGGGTGATAGCCAGTGGACCCAAGCTGGATCGCATGTTGAAAACCTTGTTTTGCAAAATAGAATCCAGTAGCTTTCCCGAAGGCAAATTCATTGCTGCTAGATCATTTTGCCAACCCTGCGAGGTGAAGATGCCGCAAAAGCACAAATATTTGAGCCTCGGCGAGTCAACCTGAAGGATGCCACACTCTAAAGCAACCAAACAAGGTTCATTCATTTCAGGGTGCTATACGTTCAGACCTTTGAAGCAGCTCATATGGGCGGTGTCTTAAAGTAGTGCACCCTTAAAGTTGATGGTTGTCCTTTTGTTCCCCTTTTAAACCACCGCGCCATCAAAAAAAGGACACACGCACATGGAGGATTTATTCGGATTACTCAGCTCCACAGAACCGTTTTCCAATTTGAGAACACTCAAAAGGTTGTAGGGGCACGACCCTTGCAACGAGTGACCCACGGCAGTGAGGTGGCACCTTGGCATTTGTTTGGTTTCTTGAGTAGCTGGCATTCAGTATCCTGTACGGACACTTGCACTGCTTTCTGGGCATTTGTTGGTCCTGCGTTGGGCAAAATCATCGAGTCTGCATCAGGTAGGGAGGGTTGTAGCCACGTTGCGACTTTCCGAGCTGTGTTTCACTTTTGTGACATGGTCTTGACTGGGTCCCCTTAGAGCAGATCAGTGCAGGTGAGCAAAACAAGAACATGCACAAATTCACAGCAATTGGCCGTTCAGGTCCAAAGTTTGCACTCGCTTTGTAGATAACACCTTGTGCGTCAATGTGTATCCTCTCGTGAGTGTACAGGTATATTATATGTATAATGTGTATGCATATTTCCCCAGATAGCTGAAAGCTATAGGGGTTCTAACTTCTAATAAAGAGGGGAAACTGATTTTTTTTTTTGCGAGATTGAGGGCCGGGTGCTAGGGGGCATGCAGTTTGAGGTGCTGGTGAATGCTGCTTTGCGAGCTTGACGGCCGGGTGCTAGGGGGCATGCAGTTTGGGGTGCTGGTGGGTGCTGCTTTGCGAGATTGAGGGCCGGGTGCTAGGGGCTGGTGGATGCTGCTTTGCGAGCTTGACGGCCGGGTGCTAGGGGGCATGCAGTTTGGGGTGCTGGTGGGTGCTGCTTTGCGAGCTTGACGGCCGGGTGCTGGGGGGCATGCAGTTTGAGGCGCTGGTGGATGCTGCTTTGCGAGCTTGACGGCCGGGTGCTAGGGGGCATGCTAGTGGGTGCTGCTTTGCGAGCTTGACGGCCGGGTGCTAGGGGGCATGCGGTTTGGGGTGCTGGTGGGTGCTGCTTTGCGAGCTTGACGGCCGGGTGCTAGGGGGCATGCAGTTTGGGGTGCTGGTGGGTGCTGCTTTGCGAGCTTGACGGCCGGGTGCTAGGGGGCATGCAGTGTGGGGTGCTGGTGGATGCTGCTTTGCGAGCTTGACGGCCGGGTGCTAGGGGGCATGCAGTTTGGGGTGCTGGTGGATGCTGCTTTGCGAGCTTGACGGCCGGGTGCTAGCAGTTTGGGGTGCAGGGGGCATGCAGTTTGGGGTGCTGGTAGGTGCTGCTTTGCGAGCTTGACGGCCGGGTGCTAGGGGGCATGCAGTTTGGGGTGCTGGTGGATGCTGTTTTGCAAGCTCGACGGCCGGGTGCTATGCAGTTGGGGGTGCTGGTGGGTGCTGCTTTGCGGGTGCTACAGGGCATGCAGTTTGGGGTGCTGGTAGATGCTCTTGACGGCCGGGTGGGGGGCTGCTGGTTTGCGAGCTGGCCGGCGAGCTTGACGGCCGGGTGCTCGGGGGCATGCAGTTTCGGGTGCTGGTGGATGCTGTTTTGCGAGCTTGACGGCTGGGTGCTGGGGGCATGCAGTTTGGGGTGCTGGTGGATGCTGTTTTGTTTTTCGAGCTGGCCGGGTGCTAGGGGCATGCAGTTTGGGGTGCTGGTGGATGCTGTTTTGCGAGCTTGACGGCCGGGTGCTGGGGGGCATGCAGTTTGGGCTGCTGGTGGATGCTGTTTTGCGAGCTGGCCGGGTGCTAGGGGGCATGCAGTTTGGGGTGCTGGTGGATGCTGTTTTGCGAGCTTGACGGCCGGTTCTAGGGGGCATGCAGTTTGGGGTGCTGGTGGATGCTGCTTTGCGAGCTTGACGGCCGGGTGCTAAGGGGCATGCAGTTTGAGGCGCGGGTGCATGCTGCTTTGGTTGTACCGGGTGCTACGGGGCATGTTTGGGGTGCTGGTGGATGCTGTTCGCGTGTAACGGTTCGTGGCTGGTGTATCGTCATGATGTTCCCACGTTATGGTGTGTGGGTGTAGTGGCGCCGTGATGCTGTCAACATCAGGATGATGCAGAATTTCATTAAGCTGTCGCAAGATGGTCCGTGGCTGTGGTATCATCATGATGCTGCCTTTACCATCAGCATGATGCTGTTCGCATCACCATGATGCTGTCCGCATCATCATGATGCTGTCCGCATCATCATGATGCTGTCGAACTCATCAGGACCTTGTTTTTGCTTTTTCCTGCCAGATTGCTCTCAAAGTCATCATTATGCTGCTGATCTCATTAGGACGTTGTCTGCGCGTTTGTTTCGTGGCTGTGGTGTCATCATGGTCTACATCATCATGATATTGCTGCGTCATGGTTCGTATCCGTGGTGTGCTATCTGGGGTCTATGCTGGTGTAATTTTCTGTATGTCTTGGCATATGTAGTGTGCGGACATAAGTTGATATATGGCCTTGCTGATTTGGCTGCTAGCTTTCGCCCTTTCAGGCGAGCTGTGGCCACAGCCGAACACGGCCTGGGATTTCTGTGTGGGATTGGAGCCAGGTGATGGAACCTTATTGAGCCTGTCGGACAGTTTCTGCGTGCCCCATTTTTGTTGCAGGCGTTTCCCAGAATGTAAATAATTGCCCTGGCTGCAGTTGCTAGAATCGCCATGGGTCAGCTTTGGAAAAGTTGCTCGGCCAAGGATCCCATCCCTTTAAGGAGCCCGCAGAAACGTTTGTGCACCCCATCTGACGCAAGGGCCATGGCGATGGACGAGGACGAGTGTTGGGAGCTCCAAGCGCTGATTCGCAAAGCCACCAACCAGGAGCTCGCTGAGATGGCCTGGGACTTTCGAGGCACGGGCTCTCAAATCAACACCCCAAACCCCCAAAATTTGTTTGTTCCCCAGATAGCTGAAAGCTATGGGGGTTCTAACTTCTAACAAAAAGGGGAAAGTGATTCGCGAGGCTGACGGCTGGGTGCTAGGGTGCGTGCAGTTGGGGTTCTGGTGCAGATACAGTTAGGGCGTGCTGTTTGGGGAGCTGTTTGGGAGCTGTATGTGGTGCTGGTGACGGCGCGGGCGCAGTTTTAGGAGTTTTGCGAGATTGACCGCAGGGTGCTATAGAGCATGCAGTTTGGGGTGCTGGTCACGGTGCGGGCGCAGTTTTGCAAGATTGGCCGTAGGGTGCCATAGGCATGCAGTTTGGGGTGCTGATGGAGGTGCTGTTTTGGGAGTGCTGGTGACATTTCTTTAAGACGGCAGGGTGCGGGGGGGTGCTGTTTGGGGGTGCTGTTCCGGGTGACGGTGCGGGCGAGCTAGTGGGCATGCAGCTTGGGGTGCTGGGAGTGCGGGCGCATTGACAAGAATTACAGCCGTGTGCTCTGGGGGGTGCTGTTTGCTGCGCTCTTCGGGGGGTGCTGTTAGAGGTGCTGGTGTGCAATCATCCGGCTGTTTTTCGCCATCTGAGTGCGAGTGTCATAGGTGTCCTTTTTAGGTTAGTTTGGTTAAAAACAGATGGCTGGTTTAGATGGATTCTATTCCATTTCCCAGGGCCATCTATTTTTCCAAAAGGTCACCTATGGTGTATGTGTTTGTGTGTGTGTGTTTTGGTGTTGGTGTGTGTATTGTGGCTTTTCCTTTTGGTGCCAAGAAAACCTTCAGGATTTCAACTTAGTTCTCAGGGAAGACTCCTGGTCATTT